AAACACCACATACAAAATCCTTTTGATATGTAATTAGTAAATGTCCACTAACATCTCACTCCCAAAAGACTCCCATCCTACTGAAGTTATTGCAGATTTTCATTCAATTTCTTCTATTTAATTTTGAAAATTCTCTAAGATTTGGATTTGTTAAAACCATGCCTAACTGCAACTAACCATGGAAAGGCTCCTGGCATTCCCCAGCCCATGGAGGACCACACAAACTGAAGTGCCGTATTACAGGAAAGTTGCTGTCTGGCTCTGTCTCCATTCTAGCCCTCTTCGTGCCCTTCAGGGCACCCCACTCTCCCTTGACCAGAAAGGTCACTTCAGTAGCTGAAGCACATACTAATCAGGCACAAATCTTCAGTGGGCACATGCAAAAGGAAAGGAGGGCTTTCAAATACAATATGACCCAACTACTGCTTACCATATGAAGGCCCAGCCATATGTCAGCTTTTCATTAATTTAAGCAAGTTAGAGTCAAAAGAAAGGAGTCAAAGGAGTTAATCATCCCAACTGACAGTGAACACTGACTTTTCAGTGAAGGCAAGCATCTAAGGAGGCAAAAAACCCTTAGATTTATTATGACTAAACCAGACTAGACAGCCCCAGTTTGCATGTCATAGAGACACAGAAGATCTGAAGGAAACAGTGTAGCTGGCCCCAAAATGTTGCTCCAAATGCTTCAGAGCAATTGTACTGCTCCATTGCTAGTTCAGTATTTGCGTGCACTTCAGGGACTTTATCATAGCTGTTTCATATTAACTTGAAAGATAAACGATAATAATCTGAACCTTTCTAAGGAGGAAGCTGCACTTTTTTTCATGATGCTTTTAACATCTTACAAGTTCTCACACTTTTCTGACAGGAAATTTCCACTCATCGAGTTCTCTGTTACATTGCAAAGAGGTAAATACATCCTCAACACACTTTTTTTTTAAATTTTGCCTTCCTGTAATTCAAAACCTTCATCTGCTCCTTCCAACATAAACACCCACATTTCATCAAAAATAAGTGGAAGAAGAAAGTCACACACTGAGACGTCAGACTGTAATTCATTTCACACAGGTCACAGATGTGTTTGCATCAGTCCTGTGTGGAAGGCTTCCCCAGATAGGTTTGTACCATCTCGGCCACATCTCTCCTTTCTGAAAGTATGGCCTTCAATACAACTGAAATTTCCTAATTTCCGTAACTGGAAAACCTTCACATTGGTACAGAGAGCAGGAAGGACTTCAGACACAAAACCTTGCAGAAGGTGGATTCTCTCTCTGGTTTTGTAACTGAAATAATTCAGACAGAGGGGGAGCCAAGCAAGCAGTCTTCTTCCCTTAGGCACAGGAATTACCAGTTATTCTTCAAAGAAGTTGTCAGTAATCAGAAGGTAACACCAGTTGGAAAAATCACTCTCCCACTAGAGCAATGGCGATTGGCAAGGCAGCAAATTTGCTACAGTCTCAAGTAATTAATAATACCCATCATTTCTACCTCAATCACAGAACGTCTAGCTCTTTCTTCTAATGCCTGCTTAACATCTCCAAAGGGCTGCTGCCCTCCCAAAAGGGCTGCTACACTTCCTAGACTACCTCTTTTGGCTGCAAAGTTCCAGAGAGCATCTTGTGACAACAGAAACCCAGTGGAAACTTTTCATCCTCCCATGGGGTCCTGATAAAGCAGCTTTTTCACTCATTGACTCCTATCTGAGCCTGGCCTTGCCAAGAATTCACAGGACCTTTGAGGCTGACAGACTGGTCACTAACCTGAGCAAAAATAAAATGGCCAGAGATGATGCTCATGGTCAACAAAGCAAATAGCAAAGCATAATATTCCAGCTGCCAGCCAACTATGTCCAGACATACCATTGATCAACAGTCCTCACATGAAGCAAAACTCACTATCAAATATTTTCTGTGTTTTAAAATTGCTAATGTGGGTGTCAAGCTGACATAAGACACAAAAGTAGCTGCTATTTATGGGTGTCATAAGTTTTATGAAACGTCTTTATGCTGTACACTAATGGTTTCACAAATTACTTCTCCACTGCTAAGAACTGACAACTTTTTATACATTATTCAACAGACACTAGCTTTTTTTTTGTTTCTCTCTTACGGTTATTTGCTACGGTCAACCTCACACGACAGGAGCACCACCGTTCACATTAACATTTGCAATAATAGAGTATGAATCATCTTCACGGTCTACACAGTGCAGGTAATGTACTTTGGAGGGCTGAACAGTTAGTTTAACCATGAGAACACTCTAGGAGATTGGTAGACACATTTGAAGTTAGTCCTGATAGGTCCGTAAGTGTAAAAATATTTACGGCTAAGATGCTTCTTACTGCTGTGACAGGGAAGAAAGGTGTATAGCAAACCACCTGTAAAAGTGAAAGTAGAATGCACAATGTTTAGTCAGCATCAGAGTGGAACACATATCACAAGGGGCTGCATGTGGCTTCCTCAAGGAAAAGCATGCCAAACTTCCCTCCCTCACCACTGAGTACCATAACTGAATATGCTATGCACATTAGCAAAGAGGATTTCTGGAAAGAATATGACTGGCTAGTAGCACTGATTCCTTTCACATAATTTAGGTCAAATTTTAGCCCTAAGTCACATTAATCTAAAAACTTTTACTGGTTCAGTGAAAACACCTGCTTTCTGCCCTGGTGTTCACGACAGTAGCTGTTTCACCTCAAAACAAGACTAGCAATGTGGACATCTAAATAACCTCACCTTTAGGCTCCCTACTGTACAGAAAATGTTTACGCTGGTAAAGAGGAACCTTTACTGTTTAAACCACTGTACAAGAGACATGTTTTTCTTCACTGTACTACTGAGACAAAAAAAATCCTTCACTGTACAGTTTTTAAAAAACACCACATAATCACATCATGATGCTTCTTAAAAGCACATTAGTAATTTATAAAATGAGAGAACTTTCCCCCCCAGCCAACAGTAAGGAAAAAACTGATTTTGAAACTCATTATTTTAGTAGATTGAGATGATACACACATAGTAACAAGCTTAAAAAAAAAGTATTCTCTACTGTTTTACCTCTTTGTCTGAATGATGTATTTTGCTTCTGAAACAAGTGAAAAATGAGCATAACCCAAGCTTCATTTTCTCTCATAATTTTGATCAAAAAGTTATTGTAGTATTTTTACTTGTTTGTTGTTTGGCTTGAGCAGCAAGGTGTATTGGTTTTAAATGGTTCTGAAATATGACACTGAATTTTTCAACAAAATGACTGAAAAGAGTTATCTGTCTCTACTTATAGTCACTCAATGGCTTCCAAATCAGTTTACTACATGAGTAAAACAGTGTGCTATTTTCTCCTAATTGTCAGAACCACAACCTATGATTTGAAGTTTCAACAGTATTCTTCTGAAGTTACTCAATATTTCTCCAACTTGTCAGTTATATGCATATAAATTTTAAATACTGATATAAAAAATCTGCTTATCTTTCCTAAACTACCTTGGAGCAGAACTTAGACTTTATGGAATAACCATGCACTCATCAAACATGCTGCATCTGAACAGACGGTCCTGGAAGAAACTCCATTCCTGAGCTGCACCTCAGCTGCATTTTAGGGCAACCACCAGGTCTTCCCTAGTAGGAAACCCAGGTGCCTGGGGAGCAGCCGAGTGCCCAAGGGTCCCTTAGTCTAGGCAGTCAGGGAGTGGGGACTCCACAGTGCTCCAGAGAGCTCTTGCCAGGCAGCTGAGACACAGCTACAGGCTCCAGAAT